GCTGAAATCAGTGTCAGATTTTTCTCTGCGGGAGTAGATGGTGATGGATACTAAAGAGTTATTGTTTCATTGTTAGCATTGCCCACAACCTTTGTAACAGAAATCTAAAATTTCAAAGCAGACCCTAAGATTTTCATGTGTATCTATAGTGTAGGCTTCTAAAAAAATTCAGATTATCTGAAGTCCCTTTCTATAGGACTGAAGATGGGGGAACAGTTACAATGTGTCTCTGCTTTCCTGCCTCAAAAAAATACATATATCCTAATTTTTTGCATTATTTCTTCTTCAAATAAATGAATGTTTGTGTAAAAATTACCCACAATGGTTTTCCTCATACGTCATGATGCAAATTTTAATGTATTGCCATAATCTTGATAATAAACACTCACCATTCCTCAGAAGGCAGCAGGTTCTGCTGCACTGTTGGGGTGAGACTTCTGCATAAATCTTCAGTACCTGGGCTCCCCTCTTCTGTGATTCCTGCAGGTCGACCAGAAGACCTGGGAAGCGTCGGATCCAGCAGTTTTTGTAAAACATGGTGGGTGAGCAGAGAGAGTCTGACTCCACAGCCAAACCCAGGACCAACAGCACTTCTGCTATTGCCACCAGGAGAACCATCTCTTCAATGTAATGGGCTTAGTCAGCGCGCTTTCTCCTCCACGGATGCACTAAAGTTCGGACCGGCATTTTAAGAGACAATCTCTTGGGTGGTGAGGATACTGCCAATTCTGCCAGGGACGTGAGCCAGGGGATGTTTTTTCCAAACAATTCCCATGGTTCTGTTTGGGCAGCTGCTGGAAGGAAGCAGCCACTTTATGAGCTACATATAATTATAATAGTTAATATTATTGTTCTCTAACTTAATTATTTGGAGACAGCTTTTGAGAGACAACAGGCACACATTGCTTTTAGTCATTCAGAGAACTTGTTTCTGTGGTCTCAAGTTTGTGCTGCTTGTCCTTCTAAGACCAAACTAGGCAGACAGCCTTGATATGTGGTGAAAAGTGGTAAGCTCAGCATATTGTTTCACCTCAGCTCTGAAAGTATGCGGTACAGTCACTTGAGAGCAGGAAGGTCTGCCACTTTGTTTAGGCACACTCAACGCAGAAAAAACAGCTCAGTTTAGTTCCGTAACACTTTTTAAATTATCTTGTGGCTGCAAATATAGTTTCCTTCTTTACTAACAAACCGAACTGTCTAATCTGGTCTCCCAGCCAGAGGTGGAAATTTGTTCTTCTTCCCTACTCTGTTTTGGTTGCAAGAATAATACGATTTTATTTGCAAGGATCTAGGAATAGATGGGTATGACTGGAGAAGGCTGTGACCTACATTTGTCTCTGGACTAGGTAGGTAATCAAAGTCCTGCCCCTAACCTTCCATAAGTTTAAGAATATTGACCAGTCTGTATGGGTTCCTCTGCTTATGTTTAAGGCCTGTGATAGTGCAAGAAACAAAATATAGTTGGCATATAGGGAGGCAATTTTTCAAGCACCTGGTCTGAAACCTGAAACTCCCAAGTGTTTTGTTTCTTAAAAGGACCCAATCTGATCCCTGATTCCCATTTCTGTATGCCTTTCACACAGAAAGGCTTTAAAATATTACAATACTGAGTTAATTTAAACTCAATAGGCTATACATTGAGGTTGAGAGAATTAGGTAGAAATACGTTTCTTTGTCTGCAATAAAAATTGTGTGTGGAATATATAAAAGTATTTTAGATGGCATTTTTTCCCCTCAAGATTAGAATCAAGGAATTTCCTCAATCCTACATGAAGTATAGATTAGTGACATGGTGCGGGGGCGAGGGGAAGCCTCAAACGCATTTTAATTCTTTAGTCATTATAGCTGGTGTTTGTTTTGCAAAACAAGGCCCCCAGTTTGGAAATGAGCCCACATGTATACAACGCAGAGCTCCTTAGAAGGTAGCGGAGCTCAGAGCAGGTTAACTCCTGTTGACCCAATAGCAAGACCAAGACATTTATTTATTCAGTGGAACTACTGGCTATAATGAGGAGGATTCCAAATCAATGTCTGTTCTTATGAAGATTACATGTCTGTTGTGGGGAATACATGAATTAAATTGTAAGAAAGAGCCTAAGTGGGTAATTCTTTAAGCCTCTATCCTGAAAATCAGCTCTTAGTACTTGTGTTTTTTATTTAGTTTTGGTAGTTTGATGTGCTTTATTTTTATTTCCATCTCTGTGTGAAAATCACAGCTTAAAACCTTAAATATGCTTCAATACACCTCTTAGTTTACATTCAGTGGACTGCACAGGGATGTTTTTAAGCATTTATCTACCATTGCCACAGCACTATTGACAGTGTATTTTTCTAAAATTTTTGTTTCAGCTTTCCTAATATACCAAGGCATCACTTGATGTGGGTCACACTCAGAATTTTGTAAGGTATGCCTGTATTTTGGCATTACCTCCAGTATTTAGTATGAATTTTGGATCTGTTCTGTTTTTTAAGACTTGCACGCAAAAATGTTGATTCCTGATTACTCTCCTCACTCCTACTCTTCCCATATCTCCAAGAAGAGAAATCTAGAAGATCCTGAATAACTTGGGGAAGCATGGAACAAGAAGATTAGACTGATCCAAAACAAGTTTTTGTACTGGATAAAGCTGAATATGTATTTAGTCCACTGAAACATATAGGATTATTTGCATGAACAAAAAATTAGATACAATAGGTAGCTTTAATAGTGTATGTATTTGTAGTTACCATAAAGTTTACACTGTCTCCTCTGTTTTTACAGGTTTGATGCCTTGCAACGTGTGTGTGTAAATAACAAATATGTTTACTTCTTCCCTTCCAGGAAAAGAAAAAAAAATAAATGACTAGCCCTGTGACCTGCTTCAGTTAGATGGACCTGAAATACCATATGATTTTTTCAGTTTCAGTGGGGCTCTGTCCAGACATTAAGATAAAGTGCGAGACTGGATGTGAACACACCTGAGCAGCTAAGCATCTTTCTCTGTTTTGAATGAAATAACAAATTCTTAAGTACCTGTTACTTCCATTGAGGCAGTCACCAAACACAGGAAGTGTGAGTACTCACTGTGCATAATGTTTAATTATGTATTTGCAAAATTGGGCCTGGGTAACCAGTCACATTTTGTACAGATCTATATGTTTTCGATGTATATTTTAAATCTCTTTTTTGTTTGCCACTGTTTGCCAATAGACATGTTGCTAGTCTTTCTCAGCACCTTCATGTTTTTATTCTGTTCTGCTGAATGCTTCAACCAAGCAGCCCTTTTTCCTTTTAATTACTTGTCATTCTTTCTCCCTTCTCTGTTTCTGAATAAATTATAAGAGCAGGAATAGCTGCAGGGAATCTTTTTATTTAATGAAATATAAAGAGATTGAAATAAATAAATAAATAAATGGCTGCTTTAGGCAATTTCCTTTAACAACTGAAAAGTTCTCTCTCTTAAATTTCAGAGTCTTCTGCCAGCTTCCCCATAATTTCACTGACTTTTCTGTGGGAAATGCATATATATAGTTCAACACTGAAGTTTTAAATCGCAAACATTTGCAAGAAGGAAATACTCGAATCTTACCTGCAAACCAGTGACCGACTGTTCCATGTGCTCTGCAAGGAGGGATCAAGAGACTTTTACTGTTCGTAAGGAGTCTCTGGCCGGTATCAGACGAGCACTTCATGTTATTTAGTAATTCTTTTCATCAGTCTTCTCAAATTTCTTCCTGGAAAACAAAAAGGCAGCTGCCTGTTTTCTGTGAGAACATAGATGTCTTTGCAGACCTTTCAGTACAAGAGATATAAACATACCTGCCGCAAAGGAAGAAAATTATCTTCTTAATGATTCTTGTTGTAAACAGGAACGGTACCTGAAGTTTTCCACCTGGGCTAGCAGTGATAATGGCACAATCCAAGAGCTTCCTAGCACAAAGGATTCATCATCGGGCATTAACTCTTTTTTTGCCAAATATAAACAAAAGCAGACACCTTTTCCATATAAAGTAACAGACATATATTGATATTTGGAACTATATTTATTTTAAATGGAATATATGGTTCTAGTACTCAGAATATGTAAAGACCAGAAAGATCTATACAGTACAGGAAAGCAATCCCAAAAATGGTTGAAAATGCCAAGGGTTTGATTCTGGAGTCAGGTCAGCCTGCCTAAAACTGCACTGCATGTTGGCTTTGTTCATGGGTCATCTGTTGTCCACACTGTTGTTGTCCCATGCTTCTCTGCTGAATGTCTTGAAGTCTCCCGTCAGCCCTGAAAGGGGAGGACAGTCAGTGTTCTGGGTCAAGTTTAGGCAATTATGCTGTTTGCACGGCTATGGGAGACAGCAGTATTAGTTGCTATGTCCCAGCCAAGGCTACTGCCTGTCTTTGATAGTTTCTCCTTTCTTCTGCTCTGCTGGTGGTGGTTAAGCAAGTATGATCAGAGAGGGACACATCCCTCATGTAAATGCAGACTAGACAAGAGGGGACATTTGGGCCTCCTGTCTGCACCTTCTGTGGCGGTGTGCTCCCCCCTCCCCTCTGACTCCCCCTCCCTCAACCTCTTTCAATCTCCACCTGTGGCAGTGGAGATAGATGTGTCTGGTCGTGATGGATGCACCCACTGGATGTAGGGGAGACAGATAACAAAGCAATAGCCAAAGGCTATTGTGGCACGTGCCTACCAAAGCACAGTGGTCAGTATGCAAATATGACTATGAGCCACTCATCTGACCCCCATCAATAGTGAGCAGCCCAAGAGCCATTTGAGCTCTCCTGCACGGCAGCGAGCTGCATGCCAGGATCTCCCCTTGAGCTGGGACGCCTCTCAAGGTTCCTCCTCGAGGTTGAGAGATTCCTTACTGCAACAGATTCTCGGTAAGTGGCTAACAGCATGCTAACTCTGAAATCTTAGCTAAGTAATATAAAGAATTGATTGTGCATATATAATCCTTTAGACATAAACCATTGACCAAGTCTGGGACTAGGATTGGATCCAGCTGCACCCAGACTCCTCTCTGAGGAAGGAGTTTAGAAAGCAAGGGGATCTTTTCTGAACCTCATGACTCAACGGGAGGGTCTCCCTGGCAGTTTTGTCTGACCCTGTCCTCTGTGCAGTAAATAACCACGTGTACCTTGCCATTGAATCTTATAAACTATCATCGCATTTACCACTGAACTTTATTAACTCACTGTTTTACACCAATAAACTACATTTTTGACTCCCTCTCACTCCATCTGCGACACCTTCCCTTTCCCAAGCAGATTATAGGAGAGAAGGGAGAGATACTCCCTGAGGCCCGGATGTGGCAAAGCAACAGTCCTTGATGCGGCCATGATGATGGAGAAGTACTCAGTGAATGACTGCTGGTAGCGCAGACCCAGCCTGTCTCAGGCATGGAAAGAGACCAGTGCTACCTGTGTAAAGCACTTCTGTCCTTCACTGCAAGTCAAACATCTTACCTTAAATCATCTGTTTTAGATTGTCTCCAACAGAGCAGTTGAAAGATGACAACTACCAGCTGAGAAGAAGCCTGCAGTTTCCTATGTGATTTATGAACCTGCCTACGCCCTCATTTGAACATCAGTAAGCATATTTAATCAAATGTGCAGCATAATCCCATGCAACGTCAGCCCTCATAATCTCTGCTGAAGTCAGTGGAGCTCTGTGCCTGTGTTGTACTCCTTGCGAATAAACTGAATTGCAGGCCTGTGTTGAAATCCTCTTTATCTCATTTTTCTTAGATATGTACATGTGGTTTCCCTTTATTACAGCAGTGTTAAGGTCAAAATTTTACCTAAGCTAAGTATTTTGATAATGCCAGAATATATCGCTGTAGCTCTATTGTAGTATAAAAGTTATACAATAATGAATGTAATGAATCATGAAATAATGAAATGTAAGTACTTTGAAAAAAGTATTGCAACAAATCTTTTTGACGTTACTGAAATACTGTGCTCACTTTCTCCTTTAAAATTTCCTTGAAATCAAAGCATTCTTGCAAAATGTCTTAAGTCCAACAAAACAGAATTTTTTTGAGAGAACTGCTTTGTCAAAAACAGCTATTAGTGGTCAGATTTTGGTTTGGAGCAATATATCAAGTTTTTAATGAATCTGACTTTCTCCAAGGTTTGGGACAGTTGGATCCAAGATTCTGGTTTCAGCCCCATCCCAGCAACGTGGTAAAAAGAGGTGAAATATTAGTTTCTGTTCCTGGGACTCTGTGCAAACCATTTTTTAAACCCTTGTTTCAAAGGGGCTGCCAGGCCCTGAGATTCTCTCGGAGCTTGGCTTCAAACTAATTCTGGTAGAAACTCTGCACGAAGGCTGGAATCTGTGTGTTCAAACAA